ATCGACGCTTTCCTATTTTTACCCTTATACAAGATGAAAAATTTTTTAAATGACAAATTAGCAAAATAAGTCAAAGAGAGCTGAAAGTTTGACTATATATGGACAAACTATTTTAGTGTGGCGTATTAGACGAGTGTATCTGTTTACTAGCGCCTTCTGTTATGTGTTGATATTGCTCTATATAAAGGAATACAATACTACTAGTGTCTTTTTTTCTCATATCTACAAGTACCGTTGCACTATAGTTTGTTTATGATGTCAGAGTCACTTCTATATTTTTATTGGTCATGACAGAACGGCATTGTGAGGAAAGGATTTTCGATTGTGTATACAAGCAGTCTATATATTCTAAACAATTGTGAAAACGTATATACTATTGGGAGTTGTGTTCGTTTTAATTTGAACATATTTTGAATAATCATGATCAATCCTCATCGCGTTGCAAACCTGTTAAGTAATTTAATTGCTGAGCGTTTATCTTTGGATGATCGCAATAATACAGATAGTAAACGTGATGAAGAAGTTGCTAAACATTTATATGATCACGTCGAATCGATTCTTGAAAGTTCACAATATTCTTTCGAAAATGAACATACTATTGATTTTAACGATGATTCTAATACCGAACAACTACAAGATAATGAAGAGGATGAAAATGATGAAGAGGAGGATGAAAATGATGAAGAGGAAGAGGAGGAGGTAGAAGAAGATGATGAAGAGGACGAGCAGCAACAAATGAATAATGATGACGAGCAATTTGACGAAGAATTCATGGAAGTAGATAATGATCAACACCACCATTTACAAAAGGAGTTTTCTATTCCATACGTGAAGCAAGCTATTGATTTTTATGATCAGATAAACGAAAAAACAGGGAGGAAAAGCCATTCTTGGAAAGCATTTCAACATCGTTTTCCAAAAGTGAAAAATCGTAGCTATATAGAACGTTTTCGTAAATATTTGGACAGTAGTGGGACAAAAAAGCAAAAACTTGATCAAATAAATCAATATACATATAACAAATTTAAAAAAGCACGTTCAGGGTTTCATTTTGTACGTGATGTTCATTTAAAAAGATGGGCTTTACAGAAAGCCAGAGAAATCAATGACAGGACATTTGAAGCAAGTGATAGTTGGATTCTTCATTTCAAGCGTCGGCATGCATTATGCAGCCGAAAAGTAACTAAACTGATAACACAACGAGAAGTAGTTGATGCAGATACTATCAATGATTCGGCAAATGATTTCGTAAATAAAATTAAAAAACTTCTTCCACATTATCGAGGACGAAATGTTTTAAATACCGATCAAACCGGTCTTGAGATCGAAATGGTAGGCAATCGTACTTTGTCATTCAAAGGTGAAAAGGCCACATTTGGCAAATGTTATTTATGTTTGAAGGAAAAGAATGGTCATATGTCTGATAATATCAAGAAGGATTTATTTCAAGCGTCAAACGTAACTATTACCTGTAGCAAATCAGGAAAGTTGACATCGTCTCTTGTCGAATATTGGATTCACAACGTATTAAAACCAGCAGTTGATAATGAAAAAGTTTTATTATTATTGGATGCCTGGGGTGGTCAAACTGATCAAAAATTATACTCGACGATGAAACATCTTCGACTTGAAATTATTCCAAAGAAAACAACTTCGACGATTCAACCACTAGATATTACATTTAGTCGTCAATATAAACATATTATTCGTACGATTTATGATCATGTGCGTCTTTATGGTATAAACTGTAATCTTTCACAAAGAAACAATATAATTAAATTAACTTCATTATGTTATAATCAAATTTGTTCTAAAACTTTCTTACCGATGCATCGATACAGTTGGTTTCAAGGCGGTTATGTTGAAAAAGATCCGGGACCGTATGAAAATGTCGAACAATTGTACTTTCGATTTCGAGAATATGGTTGCCACGAAAATCAATGCACTAACATTCCTTTAATACAATGTAGCTATTGCGAAAAAGTTTTATGCTTTTATCATTTCTTCGAATTGTACCATATTCATTGAAAACTACATCTTTTATTTCTTGAAGTTCGATATATTTGTACTCTTTTATGGATTTACTTTGCTTTGAAAATTTTTCATCTTGTATAAGAGTAAAAATAGGAAAACGTCGATAACTTTTGAAGGAATGAGATTGGGGAAAATCCCCTTTAGGGTTTTTACTATCTCAATATACTCAACTAAATGAGATATGAATGAATGAAAACGGGAGGTATCACCTCAGATGGTTCCCTCGTGAGAAATCAATTATTTCGTAACAAAGCAGAAACTTAGCTATAACTTGCGAAATTCGTATCTCCACAAGAAAGCACCATGGCCCCGTCCCCAGATAGGCTTTTTCACTCTTCACTAGGGCCTACCTTACCAACTTATTCTCTCTCGAAAGGCTTTTAATCACCTCGAGAGGTTCCCTCGTCAGTGGGATGATCTTTCCTTTTGTGGTTGTTTAGGCTGCACCTGTACTTTCTTTGCATATTTCACAGAAGAGATGTCTTGAGTGGTTTTGAGCACTTCTGGATGCGCATGCTTCTGGTGTTTTTGCAGGTTACGGATGTAAGTGTATCTCCTATCGCATACGTTGCACGCAAACGCTTTCAAAAAAGTTCGAACTATTTCTGGATGTACGAACTTTCTGTGCCTGTAGATGCCAGATTGACTTAGATACTCTAAGCCACACAAATTGCATATGTAGTTAGGAACAAACGTTGTGGTCTTCATCTCTCTGGATGCTTTTGGGGGGCGCATGAGATGCATGCTATTTCTGTGCTTTGGCATACTCTTTTGGTACCTGAACTCTGCAACGCATATATCACACTTGCAGGTGACCACCCCAGTGTGCTGTACTTGGACTGAGTGCGCAAGCTCTTTGCGGACAAAAACACCTGGTTGATGTCTCACACTCGTAGAACATTATTTGCTTGCCCTGATGAGCTAAGAGTATGGCTTGTCATCTTCAAAGAATACTTTAATATACTTTATGAGAATAGAACAGGCAGAATTATGCAGATAAAAAAATAAGAGGGCAAAGGTTAAAAGATAAAGCACAACGAAATATCATCTGGAGTGATGTTCACATTGTAAAAAATAGAAGAACAATTACATCACAGTCGCAAATTATTATTATTTAATATCTAGAAGTTCTACACATATATATTTATACTGTATCACAAAAAAATTGGAATGATATTTCGCTTTCAATAAGGTCGGCATTCGTTTATAGTAGTTGAATGATTGGACAGAATAGCTATATCTAAATAATGACCAATTTCGAATTTAAAGAAATCTAATTGTTTATGATCATCATTATGTTTTCGATGGATTTCAGTCAAACCAATAAGACTTAAACAATATTTGTCGGATTGATCTGTATGCGGAAAAATGAATGAAAATGATAGTTGTGTACCATGATGACATAAATGAGAATTAACTTCTTTAATTAATGACGTTAACTCGCTTAATGATGCATTTATCCATGTATCGGAATAAATATTACAAAATTATCTTTTTAATATCTCTCTGTCGATTTATTTCATATGCATTGGTGCTTTTTCTGTGGACAACACTTTTTTCCCTATGCCAATTTTTTCTTTTCCCATAGTTCTGTTGTTTTCATTTGCTCCTTGGCTGTCCGACGGTATTGTATGAGAAGTTTTTCATCTGTAACACTGTTCAAGTTAAAATTATTGTGACTTTACAGGTTGAATGTAAAAACAAACTATGTAGAACCATGTGGATACAATGAATCGAACACAGAGAGATAGAAATCTATAAGCGAAGGGTGGTGATTGCTTCCCGTTGAAATCTAAGCCGATACCGGTGAGAACATGAGCTGTTTTTATTTGGTGTAATATTTATGAGTAAAAGCTCGATAGAAAGGGACAAATATAAATAAAAACGAGACCTTTCAGCCTAAAATGGAATATCTGGCTAAGATTTGTATGATGTAGCCAGAATTATAACAGAGATTTGACTGGTTCATGATTCATACTATGAATCAAAATTTTTTCAGAAATGTTAGACATTTTCCAGTGTCTTAATCAACTTTTTGCAAAAACTACAAACCTAAACGAGAAACTGAAGTGAGAATAATGGAGATTTTTATAAAACAAACAGCAAATCATCTTATTCCATTTAGCACATCTTATTTGCTACTGCTTTTAGGTTTTTCCGCTTTGCACCATAGATAGCGTAGTTTCTGATGGGCAATTCAAAATATTTTTGGATCAGATCACATCATGCTCCAAAAAAATAAATTTGTGAACTGCTCTAATGGAAATATGTACTGAAACAGCAGAAGAGATCTCTTCGGATATAAGGAAAAATCACATGGCAGCCTTTAGGTTTATGAGGGAAGGTCTCTGAGTGTCACGAGTAGTTGTGAATCTGATATATTTATGTTTGTAGAGCTCGATGAGCATAAGATATGGTATAAGTGTTCGTTCTCATACTCGATATGTGAAGAGCCAAGGTGGATCATAGATCGTGGAGAACCACTTTGTGAAACTAAAGTTGTGAAGTTTGCACCATTGGATGACCTACAATCAACTATTCTTATATTAAACTTCACTATGAGAATCCGAACGTGTCTTACTTTCCGTATATGAATATCACTATATGTGCAAATATCGTCTATTATAATACTTTGTCTGGGGATTGTTCCAAAAACCATTCGAGAATGCTATCTTATAGAACTAAAAATTGATCTGTGCACAGTACAGCGAACTGTGAAGCAAACATGTCTCAAACTAAAGAGCTCTGTTGCACGATCGAACAGTATCAGAATCAGGAAGGCTTCAGCTTCCAGTCGTATAAAATAGAGTTTTCAACCAGTTTTTGGAAGAATTACAGACGAAACATTAAAATAGTCTATACTTGCAGAATTAATGATGTTCAAATACCGAAAGTAAAAACATTTTTAGGTTTCGTAGTTAAGTTTAACATAAAAACTGGAAGAGCGGACTGCGACGCATCCAATGGTACAAATTGTACAACCTAGAGCCATAATATTCTTGAAATCCAAGTCTCCCAATTAGTCCCGTAAGGTGGTTGTTTAGAACGTATGATCCATCTTAGCTCTTGTACTATCGTATATGGAACAAACGATTTAAACCAGATATTATGTTCATCGAACTCTAGAAACTGGTACATTTCCGATTCGAAACGGTGCATGACACCTGAGGACTGCCCTTATTAGCGAGGGTGAGGGTTGTTTTGAGGCGGTGTTCGTTGCTGTGTTTGTGGTATGTTTTGTAGCTGCCCTTGTTCCAGTATGTCTAGTAGCGGATGGTCGTTGCTATCTGTTTGTTGGTCCATTAAATATCTTTCGATTTA